CCCGGGGGGGGGGCCCCCCCCCCCCCCCCCCCCCTCCCCCTGATATGCGAAAATCTCGGTTCAACACCAAATACGAAAAGAAGAAAAAAAAAACCAACTGCAAACGAAAGAAAAAAGCTATCTTCGACAAGAAAAAAAGGAAAAAAAAAAAAAGAAAAAGAAAAAAAAGATTTAGGTTTTCTTCCGCCATTTCCGCACCATGAATCAAAACCTGGCAGCGTTTTCCCTAGCTCTACACTAGTAACCATTGACACAAGGCCGAAACGAGGGCGGAATAGGAATATCCTTGCCTTACCACGTGCGAACTACGGCACAAGAAATGCACCTATACACTACACTACATATGCACAAGTTATCACTGTTTGAAAGGCGGCGGGATGAGATAATCTATTGGATTGGAGCATGGCAAGTGCAGATGTGTGTAACCGTCACAACCACCATTTATTTCATTGGGTTGGTGTTACTTACCCACGTTCAGAACCATGATTTCTTGATGGCGGGTTATCTTTAGGGAGTTTGGGCATACTGACTGCGGATTACCATTTTGTTGGGAACTAAGGAACAAGTGCTTACATGTTGATGATGATGATATTAGGCAAACGACATGAAGAAACCTCCAACGCCAACGGTAACTCAAATCATCCGAAACGAGTTGCTGATAATAACATTCTCACCACGGCCTGCCCGAATTACTCTCATCTGGTGTAAGTAAACAGATGACAAGAATATAGTGCTACGCGTCCACAGTCTTCCTTCAACGGCAGGGGCCCGTTCGACTTCTCGTGCTTCGTGCTTTCCTTGTGCTTTGTGCCTGGTTTAACCAGCGTTCGGGTAGCTGCAACGTTGAAGGATTGCTCGCAACTACCTGATTTCCAAGCAATTGGCGTAACCAAGATTACCTATGAAACACATCGATTGAGTAATTGATTGCTCACATTTTCTCTTTTTCTCATTACCGTGTTCGACTGACGACCAGGCAAATCATCAAACTTATCAATACACCCAAGGGTAGGTGACATCTTGTCGTAATGTTTGTACGCGTCTCACCGTCTCACCCTCTCACCGTTACAAACCGTAGGTAGCACTCATCCGCAACCACAACCCGCGAGTCCCTATTATTATCAGTTATCACCGCCCAGGTATGTAGAGTACTACACATATAGGTATGTATGTCCATGTCGTTCAACCCACCCGGTTCGTACCTACCTCTACCCAAGTATTTCTTGCGCGATAGCAGCGCATCGTATATAGCGGGAGGTATCTCTGCGCTCCAGTCCTGGTGAGAGTAGGTTGTCTGATGGTGCTGACTGATATCGATGTTGTTTCAATCCCAACTTCAAGTTGTGTTCACTCTGAAACAAATGAGGGGTTACATCGCAGCTGCCGTGTATGTACCTATCATCAATTCATCATGTTATGGTAGCAAGAAACGGATAAGATGGTCCAGTTTTGTCAAGTGGCATACGACCAAATCCCACTCCTGTCCCATCTCTACCATCCCACCATTGCCATCCTTCCGTTCCGCTCATTGTCCGTTCAAGGCCGCCTCTCCGTCTCTCCCACACGACACGCACACGACACGCACACGCACACGAGCGCCCCCCTTGGCTTGACTAGACCTGGTCTGGCCTCCCGCCACGCCCGCCACGCCCGCCACGCCCGCCACGCCCGCCTCTTTCTTCCTCCTCCTCCGAATGTGACAAAAGCCATTGAAAAAAGAGAGGTGAACGTGATCCGGGGTCGATTGGTCGGCTCACTGCCTTGATTGGTTTTCGAACCCCAACCACCGACAACGCGCGTGTCTGGCCTGACACTTGACCCCCCGGAACCAGGATGGGTAATGCCCAGTCCACTGTTCTACCGCTCTTCTGGAAGCTTTCCATTTTCGTATGTTCCGATGTTTTTCAATCTTATCCGGTGTGACGTTCGGGGAAATCCGTCCGTCTACCTAGTCGTCTACCTTTCCCGTTGTGGAAGATTTAAACGAAATTCAAATCCAAATCGATCGTGCGACGGGGGTTACCTATTGAACGTTTATCCTTGAATAAGGTAGGTAGGTAAACCTGGGATCATTGCATCGAGAGATCGCTATCTGCAATGCAATCTTGTTCCATGTTCACTACATTCCTCTACGTACTAACAAACACTGTTTTGTGATCATTGATGCCCGGTCTAAAACTTAACCCGTGTGTAGGTACCTCAAACATCATGATCGTGGAGAACATGAACCTCAAGGGGGAGGGCATGGAAAAACATCATATCATAGGCAACGCCGTTAGAATCGGTGAAGGGTACAGCCATTCCGAGATATTTAGTCTACATAGGTAGGTAGGTAGTGTACCTCTAGGCAGAGCAGGAGGAGTTGTGCGCACAGGTAGGTACATACATACATAGTGTATCTCGCTTCCCCAGAGTTCTAGGCATACGTACCTAGACAATGGGTGAATATCTTCGTAATCGGATATCTTTCTTTTTACTCCCGTTTACAACTACCGAAGACGAACGAGGGCATCGATTGGTGACTTCTCTTTAGATCAGATTAGCGGTCTACGCTACCTACCCTTGATAGTACATTATATCGTAGCATTAAGCCAGTGTGATTGATATGCCGGGAGACTATATTTGTGGAGAGCAGTTAGCATGTTTCTAATGGTTTGTGAAACACAGTGCTTGGATGTCTTATCTTGTGCTGTCAGAGATAGCTTGTTCATCGCGGAAGCATACCGATCATGATATATTTCGATATCGTCGTCTCCTGAGCCGAATTCCGAAAGCTACCTCTAGCGTACTGCAAGCAGTGCGATCCTTGATTACATATCAGCTACGATATGATAGGTATGGTATGCCTTGATGTCCGTGATAGCAGTCTGCGAGATCAAATTAAAGATGGATTCGCTTCGGACATTACTCCGGCGTAAATCGAACAACCTAGCAGCGGAGAAAATGAAACCACAGTTATACGTCATCCAGTCTGGGGGTTCGCTCATCTCTCTCTCTCTCTCAACTTCCCTTGGTCGTGCCTCTGAGGGCGGACATGCTGAAATGGGTTGGGGAAACAACTGAAAGAGACAATGGAACGATTCCGCGATTTCCATCAATCCATCACTTGGCACGGCCTCGGTAGGAGAACTACCGAATGCACCAGTGCTGGAACTAGTCTAGTGCCTCTCTGAAACTACCTAGTGTAGCTCTGTTGACGATAGCTTCAGTGTGCAAGCATGAATAAGCTTCAAGCTCGAATCCAAGACAACTACTGTAACTGACGTCGCACTTTGACCAGTCGGAGAGACTCTATCATATCTGTCTTGACCCTTTCTTTAACCGTCGTGAAATTGTTTTCCTGAAGATCTTACGGAAACAAGGAGACACAATGAACCATTCTAGCTTGCTCGAGATAATGGTACGACATCTCGTATGCCTTGGCAAAACCCGTTGTGAGGAATATCAAATCTGTTATATGGCGATTATGATCCCATCAACATCTCACCGCAATCTGCAGCGCAAAATACATACTACATGGCAAACGGAACATGCCGGAAGGGACCGATTACCTAATGCTGAGCCATCAAGGGTCCTCGGCGGTGATGTTGTGGGATAGGGTTGCAAGCCGACCTTGATAAACGTCCGTCCGTGGAGTCGGCAGGGAGCTGATGGAGATTGATGGTTGAAACATGGTGGAACGTGGAGATTTGCCATTGAAACCCAAGACGGGAGCATCACGGACCGCAATGCGACGGGGACGAGCTGAGGTGGATTGCGAGGAAATGCGGTGCCGGTGATCCGAATGGAACGGCACCGGGAGATGAAAGCTCGTTGCTGTGCCAGATGAGGATGGGAAATTACAATCAAGACCACTCACACAAGAAAACGGGCAGCGCTGGACATTGCGGTGGTTGCCGACTTGCCAGAATGACGACGGCGACAAGTCTATTGATCACGAAATCAGTCGACCGACAGAACTTAGCCCTGCTCACCACAGCAACAGAAATATCAGCGTAATATTGCCACTGTATGTATTACATCCCGAGCCATGATAACTGAAGCTTCGTTCTTCCCCACGTCGCCCCCCTCGAGGAACGATCACAGTGAAAAAAAAAGATTTGTTTTGGTTCGACATCAAAAATTACGGCCGGAACGGCCCCGAAGGACAATTCATGACGGCTAGCACCACGATGTGCAATGCAGGCTCTCCGCCATACTACTCGGTCTTCTTGATCTCCGCGCAGTCAACCAAGGTAAGTATGAAGAAAAAAAAAGAGAAGAAGAAAAGGCTAAGAAGTGGGAGGGGAGGCCCTGTTTAAGTAGGTCTTGAGAGATGGCCTGTGCACGAGTGCAAACTTCCCTGCACCTGGCGGAAATTGCACTTGCGCACGGACGTCAAATGGCAGAGTGGTGTTGGCAGGCAGATACTGTCAAACAGATACTAGAGCAGGTGGTGGGCGGCGGCAGGCAAGAGACGGAGAGAGGGCCGGAGACAGAAGAGGGATGTTTGGACAGAACATCCTCTAACAATCGAAAACCACCAGAGAATGTTGACAAGCGATTCACTCTTGATATCCATTAGTGCTCTTATAAAAGCTCAATACTCGCCGGCATCGAGATAATGTGTTGGATCAGATGCTGAGTTGTTAAACCTCAATGCCGTCCATTGGCCCCACAGCGGACGATCTGTTCCTTGGTGACGTCACTTGTTCCTGACAGGCATCAAGGCACTTTAGACCGGACAACAACACTTTCCAATGTGATCGCGTCTTCCTCAACACCACAACAAAACTGAAAAAGAAAACGAGTAAAAACTTTGCAGATTTCGCAGTTAGAAGATTAAATTACCCAAGAAACCAAGTCAAGACAAAATCACAAATGGCCTCCCGAACCCTCTTCACCCGCGCCACGGCCCTCCTCCGGGCCAGCGCCAGCGCCGCCGCCACGAACCAAATCCAAACCGGATCCATCATCTCCATCTCCATCACGAGATCCACTCCTCCCCTCATGTCCGGGTCAACCCGCGCCTACCACTCCACTCCCCCCCTCCAAACCGCCAAAGACTTCAAATCCGACCGGACCACCCTCCGCCCAGCCAGCTCCGAAGGGACCGTCTCGGCCTCGGACGACGACGTGGCGCACCTCGACAAGACGGCCTTTGACCCCAACAAGACCTCGCCCAAGGAAGAGACCGAGTCAGCGGGCAAGGAGTCCAACGGCAACCCGCTGGAGACCAGTGGAGCCAACAGACAGTTCTCCAAGCCCCAGGGCGATAATCCTACTGAGGGCGACATGTCCAAGGAGGAGAAGACGACGGCTGGTGGGGGCAAGGAGAAGAAGAAGAGTGGTGGGCCGGCGGCGGGGAGTAAGAAAGGGGGGACGACGAACTATCATGGGAGTAAGGAGTAGGGGGTTAGTGCGATGGATGCTTGAGGGGATTGAGATGGATGAGAGCGATATTGTTTACACAACAGGACTGGTATGAAGGAACAGTATTCTGCCAGGAAAAGACAACTCGTGTTGACGAGGAGGGGGCTGCCGCGATGTAATGAGGGGATCGAGCGCCATGTAGGACTATGCCGGAGACGAGAAGACGGTTCTGGGTTGCATCTTGTGTTATGAGATATGATGGGTTTCATTTGTTGGCTTTTGTTTTGTTATAGGTATCGATGGTATGGGAGATGGTACAGGTACAACAGCACTGTTGCTCCTATCGGCATATAGGCCTAATAGACATCGACATCATGCTTGCTTCCTTGTGCTCAACATCAATCATTTAACGCTTTACATATATATACATATCTCTCATCCAGCGCAAAGTGTCCACGTGGTATACCATCCATCCTTCGAAACCCCATTCATTCCTCCTTCCCTTTACTACCCAATCCCTCAAGCATACAACCCATCCATATCATCCTCCTCCTCCTCTTCTTCTTCCTCTTTCTTAGTCACCACCTCCCTCCTCTTCCCCATCTCCTTCCTACACATCGGACAAGTCCCCTTACTCCTCAACCACGGCCCCACGCACTCAAGATCAAACCGATGGCTATGATGACACGGCAGTTCCACCACCAGACAATACTGATCATCCAGATACCTCTCGGCGCAAATCGGGCACTGCTCGTCCTCCTTTAGTTTCTTCCTGTCCACTCTGTCCAGCCCATCCAAAAACTCTTGCGAGACACCCTCGATTTGCGTGGGCGGGCGGTGGATGTCCTCTTCCAGAGAATCGATCAGCGAGTTGAGAAAGTTGCGGTTTTCGTCGGTCGGTGCCGAGAGGGCGAGCACGCCCATTTGGTCTTGGAGTAGTCGGTAGAGAGCGGCGAGGTCGACGGGGTTGGGGGTCGCGTGCGGGTTGTTGTGGTGCTGCGAGGATGTGGAAGCGGAGGTGGAGGTGGGGGTGGAGGATTCGGGAGCGATGTTGTGTAGGTGGGAGGTAAAGGTTGACATGTCGACTTTGCGGCGGCGGGGGGCGGTGGAAGAGGGTTTAATGTTGTGTTCGACTGGTGGGTGAAGGGTGGTTAGTGATGCGCTGGTGGGAGGAGATGAAGGGACGGGGGAGAAAGCGTAAGTACCTTCGTATTGGGTCGCCATTTTGATTAGTTGTATGCGCCGAAGCTAAGTTGGGTATGCGACTGTGTTGAAGGATTGGCGACGCTGGGAAGACTCGAGACAGGAGGATGGTGGTTGAAGGTTGAGAGTCGAGTCGAAGCTGCGCAGCTCTGCCCTGGCTGTGACTTGGGGTCTGCGGGGTGTTGAGGTGATACCGACGCAATGCTGTTGGGGCTTGAGTGGAGGAGTTGGGTCGCTTTGTGAGGACAACGATCCGATAGCAACTAGCTGAAGAAGATGAACCTAGATTCAGTTGGTGGTGTTGCAAGACTATACAATTTGGATATATCTACGTAGAATTGAAGACGATGAGGATGACCTGGATACAATTCGTGCTGCAGTGGAATGGCTTCGGCGAGACAGGCAGCTCGAGGTGACGCGGGGCTTTGGTCCCTTGGAAGCATCCACTGAAAACTCGCGTGCAATGGTGCCTACCTTATCGCTTTACCTAAACTCCCGTCCAAGTGGCCCGTGCGCTCACAGCACATCATTTATGCACCCCAGACTGCTTGTGCCTGACGAGCATAAAGAAGGCCTGGACCTGGAATGATCCCTGGAGCCAGGTTCCCTTTCCAAGTCTGGGCGCTACAAGTGCCGCCGACTAGGGTAGCGTTCCCTTTCAGAAGATATCGTCATTTCAATAATCTCTCGGCACCAACCAAAATCCAATCTTGGAGTTGCTCTTTTCCCCTTTTTGTGTTACTCGATACCGAATGCAGAGACATTGTGCACTAATCCTAATCCACAACGCGGCAAGATGTGATTGCCCCCACTCGAAACCAGACATATTCAATCATTCATACTGTACCTAGCTCTTCACTCTTTTCCTGTTGTTGGTTGTTTTCTTGTGAATGGACGGGATGACATCATGTCGCCCATTGGATGGTGTTCCTTGACTCTCTTTTTCCAACTAAACAAATCAGCGCCCGCTCCAGGCTCCTTCCCGTGTCCTGTTCAGGTACCAGCCAATCCCTTTTTCAGATGGCCAGCCAGGCCAGGCCTCCATCCCAGCCCCTTGACAGCTCTCGTTTCAACTTTGCCCGATCCCTTGCTTTGGGCTTTTGGCTGATATTTAATCGATCTTGTCCGTGCTCTCTCTTTTCCGTCTCTTTTCCCAAGTAAACATCTTTGTCCTTCATTTATGAATACCTGAGTAAACAAAATAGGGAGAGCAAGATGCCTCCTCTCAACACGGCGACGATTGGCATGGCTGTTACGCCAACAGTCGTCTCCACCCTCTTCAGTCATGTAAGTCTTTTTCTTACTTGTAGTATTCTAACTATAAACGCAGTCTAGAATAATCATCCCATCTTCCCACTTTTACTTGCGATCCACCACCGGGAGGAACTTTAATCTTCTTTCGGTCACAACAAGAAATCCACACATGGTTAGTTGGTTCTCTAACATGGCTCAAATCAGTACCTCGACCGTAAAAAAGTCCGCCAAAAACCCACCGAGCGACTCTCGTACGACGAAGGCCTCCACCTAATCCGTTCCTTCCTCGCCTTTGCCTCCACCCGTCCTGTAGAAGAACTCCAGGCCTTCACCGGCCAATGGGTCCCTCATCCTACCTGGGTTCGCGTCGATGAGGTCGAGATCCCCGAAGATAAACTCTCCTACGCCGCCAACCTTCTCCACGAACAGCTTGGCCCCGAGGGTATTCGCCGCGTCGGCGGTCGCGAGTGGTGGCAATGGCGCAGACCCAAGAGCCCGTTGAAGGCTGAATGGATCGAGATGAAGGCCGACTACGAAGAGCGCAAGGAAAACGCAGACCCGGGCAATCGCGTCATGTTCTATATTCATGGAGGCGCGTACTTCTTTGGTAGTGTCAATGAGCACCGCTTCATGATACAGAGACATGCGCGAAAGCTGAGGGCCCGAGCGTTTGCGCCCGAGTACAGGCTGGCGCCGCAGTTCCCTTTCCCGTGTGGACTGCAGGACTGCCTGGCTGCTTACCTGTACCTGCTGACGCAGCAGGAGCCCAAAACGATTATCTTGGCGGGTGATTCGGCGGGTGGTGGCATGGTCTTGTCGTTGTTGGTGATTCTGAGAGACCAGGGCATCCCATTACCCGCTGGTGCAGTCTTGATCAGTCCCTGGGTCGATCTTACGCACTCGTTTCCCAGTGTGGCGGGAGATTGTCCATTGGACTACGTTCCGCCTTCTGGGTTCCATCATAGGCCGTCTAGAGCATGGCCGCCACCGGATGAGGATGAGATGGAGGAGCTCAAGAAGATTGCCATCGAGCAAAAGAAGGGCGACGGCGTGAAAGAGGGCAGTTCGGATTCCAACAGCGGCATTCCCACCATTGGCGACGTTCTCGACAAACCCACTCGCTTGTCGCTCATGATCGACGGCCAACAGATCGACATCAAGGAGCAGATCCAGATGTACACCACCAATGAGATGCTCAACCACCCTCTTGTGAGCCCTGTTCTGCAACCTACCCTGGGTGGTCTCCCTCCTCTCCTTATCATGACCGGCGGCGCCGAGATCTTGCGCGACGAGCAGATTTACCTGGCCCACAAGTGCGCCAACCCCGAGCAATACCTTCCACCCGAAGCCATGATGGACGAGCCCGCCTGGGCGCAAGTGAAGAAATACCCACCAACCGACGTCCAGCTCCAAGTCTGGGATGACCTGTGCCATGTGGCTCCTACTTTGAGTTTCACACGGCCAGCCAAGTACCAGTTCCGAGCCATCGCCCAATTCGGCGCTTGGGCACTTGCTCGCGCTCAGCGGACCGAGATTGACATTCTCGATGACGACGATATCTCTGTCATTTCCGGCCACGAGGGCGAGGATGAGTCTGATGACGCTACCCACGAGCCTGCCGTTGACCCAACCCAACCTTACCTGGATCCCAAGCCAATGCCCAAGAAAAAGACTAAAAGGTCCAAAAACAAGAGAGCCAAGACAGTTGCCGAAAAGGAGAACGAGGCCAACGCCGTCGGCAAAGCAGGCGACCCTCTCCCGCCCTTCCACCATCACATGATCCGCCAACGCGTGACCACCACCGGTCTGCTCCTCCCCCTTCCTGAGCATTCTGACCTCCCAGCCTGCTGCGTTGACCGGAACGCCATTGGCGTCATCAAGCCCGGTCCAGTGCGCAAATGGCTCGCCCACAAGAAGAAATTCGATTCCCGCTTCGCTTCAACCAAGTCCAAGGTTCACAAGCAGAGAATCAAGGACATGCGCGAAGGCGGCTACGAAGTCTTTCCTGGCGGTGACGTCCCTCCTCCCTCGGCACTCGCAGGCCGCAGAAAGATTGGCCACCGCGAGGAGGACCTGAAGAAGGACAAGAAGAGCTGGGGTCTCAGTCTCTGGGGCGTATGGGGCAGCAAGCACGACAAGATGACTGTGGCGCGCGGGGAGAAGGCCGACCGCCGAGAAGTTTCCACCAAGACTGTCCAGGCGGCCGACGGCGGTGAGGGCGCTCGGAGCTACTCCGACATCAAAAACCAGGAAGGTACCGGCGTCCAAGGCAAGACGGCCGCCGGCGTCGAGCGTCCCGGACTCGGAACCAGAGCGTCGGGCTCCAGATATAAGAGCGTTGCGGACCAGGGACAGACGGGGGAGCATCATCTGCATGACGATGACGAGCATGAGCACGAGAGGCCGCAGATCGAGGATATCCTGGCCTACAGGAAGGGAGAGCTGGAGGAGCAGCATCATCAGCCTCCGGAGGTCGGGGCGACGGGGAAGAGACCCATTGTGGATGGCTTGGCTACGCCGTTTAGTCTGGGAAAGAAGGCCGAGACGGCTAGCATGATTACGTTGCAGAGTGGCAAGAGCAGGATGACGGCCGGCACCAGCATTCTGCAGAGTCCGCCGGGTACCAGCGCTGGTGCGTCAAGGGACAACTTGTCGCTGATGCCTAGTGGTGCTGATGACGCCACTTCAGTAGCCGAAGGTGACGGTGACGCAGCAGCAGCTGGAACCCGCACTGGAAGTGCACTGAAGCACGAAGTGGAAGCCGACGGCGAGAAGCAGAATGTGATTCAGGCCGACGAGCACATCGTTCCCCGCGAAGTCGAGGTCAGGAATTATACTACCCACCCACTGGATGCCACGAGGGGAATCGGCATGTCGTTGCCTACGCCTCTTACGCCCGGAACCCCAGGGACGTTGGGGAGTAGGCCGGGATTGGATCGGTTCGTGACTGCTGATGAGTTCTTCAGTACGGGGGGTACTCCTACTCCTACGGCTAGTGAGCCGAAGCTTAACGTTGCTTGATTTCTGAGGAGAGGTTTTGTTGTTTCCCTACGGTTGATATCCCTCAGATTTTAGTTTGGTTCTAGATAGATATCCTTTTGCTCTTTTGTTGGTTGAGAGTTTGGAAGAGTTAGTCAGCCTGATACCTATCCATGGAGCGAGAGAGCAAAGGGGGGAGTGAGTGGTTCTGGGTAAAAGTGGAGGGAATAATATGTGCCAGGCACGGTGATAAGTTTCCTAGTTGTTGTTCCGTTTCAGTTAGTTTTGAGTTTGAGTTTCCTTGAGTTATGATACCACTGTTTTACTAGTAAGCGTTTTGTCAATGATTGAGTCGCCAGTGATGCGTTCAGTCAGTAGTTTGTTTCGTTCAACATGGTGATTTCTTCAGAAGAGAGGAGGTATAACTTACCTCACCACATCAGTCCAAGACTTATCGCCCAAGCCATCCATTGAATAGGGCAAAAAGGGTACGTAACGTTGGTGATAATGTTGACGAAAGATTACACGAGATGGCCGTTGACTCCCTATTCTCTTTAAAAACTTAGTTGGAACTCAAAACGATCTGTAACGGCAATGTCATAACACCACACACACCTCCATTAACTCCCCGGCCGTCTCTATGAACATAAAGACTAGCTACTGTGTAAACATGCAAAACTTTTGATTGACATTGACCGTAAAAACCTCCCTTTGATTCCCAAAAAGATACCTTTGTATATGTATGTGGGTATGTTTGTATGCGACTAGCACAAAAGTCCCCAGCCCCTTGACATAAAACTATAAAACAAGAAAAACAGAGCAGATGTTTAGGTACCCAGCAAACCATCCTTCGAACAAAACCGCACCAGCGAACCAACCAGCCCACAGAGAAAGAAAAACCACCAATGACCCAACCAACTAGCCGACTGACCGAGTCGGATATACACCCTCTTGCTATTAGAAGTATGTCCAAACTCATCAAAGAACAGGCTTCGACATGGGCGCAATGATGCCCTGCTTGAGAATGACTCTGGGCTTGGTAGCATCCTGGAAAGTCTCCTTGGTAGTCCACTCGGGACCAACAGGGATGCGGAGCGAGCGCTCGTACTGCGCTTGGGTTTCGAAGGGGTGGGGGAGGGAAGTGGCGAGGTATTGGTCGTTCTGTTTTGTGTTAGCCTCCGTTATCATGACTTCAACCAAAGACAACTCATAACTTCAACCGCAAAAAAAAAAGAAGAAAATACGAGCGAAGCGAGGACCC